TAGTTATATGATGGCTTTTTATGAAGAAATGTACAAAATTAGAATAATTATTTACTTTTTCTCTTTTCTGACATAGTTCTCAAATAATTGTCATATGGCTTACTTTTAGGATACATTTACAGTGCTTTATCTGGTCTATTCAATGCTGTCTGCTAGCACTGAATGGAAGTGAGCAGCTTGAACATTCAGTTAAATATCTCCTTTTATGCTCCATGAATCTCAAGTCATCAAGTCACCCAGGTTTCAAACTGCATTCATGTGAGTAAATGATGACAGAATTCACACTTTTGGGTAGCTATATCCCTTTAAGGCTTCCAATTAAACTTGAGTAGGACATGTACTGATTTGTAACCCCTTAAATGTTTATTTTAGGTTTTCATAATGACTAGTTTTTTTCCAGTGATGTGGATAGCATAACCAAGCTGTGGCCGCAGTGGAAAACAGCCCTTCCAGAGGTGCTCTAGCATGTGTGCTGTATGTTTAAAACACACATTCTTAAACACACACACACACACATGTGGTTTCTATAATTAACTCTTGTGCTGAAGTCACTCTGGAATTGTCCAATGGGCGGGTTTCATAAGTGCTTTTTCCTCAGCTTGAAATGTGTGTGTGGTGTGTAAATGTGCAAATATACCTCCTTTTAAACGTTTGGGGTCTGTAAGATTTTTCAAATGTTCTTTTATGTTCAGTAAGGCTACGTTTATTTCTGATACAGTATAAATAGTAATATTGTGAATATTCTTACAATTTAAAATAACTTTTCTATTTCAATTTATTTTAAAATAGAATTTATTTCTGTGATGGCAAAGCTGAATTTTCAGCAGCCTTTATGCCAGTATGCCAGTTTTTGTCTTTACTGTCCCTTTTTTATAAAAAGAATGAATTTATTTTGAAAAATAATCTTACTGACCCTAAACATTTGAACGCTTGTGTATTAGTGTGTTCATGTCTGTTTGTTTGCATACATGGTGTGCCACAGTTGCGTTTATCCATTAAAAACTCAGGATGTATTGGTGCTTTTGTACAAACAAAAAGTGCTTAAAGATCATTTTGAATCACCGTCATCATTAAGCAGTTTACACACTCTTCCTGAAAGGAAAACAACTCCCAGACAAGTGTTTTGTTCTTTTTTTTTTTTCAGAGAAATTATGATTAATCCTTGAAAAGGAAGAAAGGAAGCCATGTCATTCTTTGGCTTAGACTGTACAAGGAAGAAAGAAAAAGGTACATGCACGACATACAGCTCTGACATCAGAACACTATCAAACCAAAGTCTTTCATCACTCAAAAGTAAATTGTCATCGTTGTGATGTATTCATTGGTTGATTTCCCCAAAAGTTTAAATGCTGTGGTGCTGTTGAAATGTGTTTGTTTGAGCATCCTGACAAACACTTTGGCTCATCAACTTGCCTAACCTAACCAAACCTAACATTTGTAAAGAGTATATACAATTTCTCTCTATATTTTCTTCTAGAGGTGGAGAGGAAAATCAGAGCAAATGACAGAGAATATAACTCATCATTCAAATACGCTGTGAGTATAAAATCAGAAAATTGACAGAAAATCACTAATTCAAACCTACAAAAATGAACATTTTATGTTTTGTCTGATGACATACCGTAGGTGTCATCATGACATTATATCCACCAAACAGTTTCCTCCTAACAGATTGCAGTTACTTTTAGATACCTTTCTATTAAAAAAACACTTGTTATTTGTCATCGTCTTTCATCACGTATTACTTATATTGGGAAATGACTTCCAGCATGTGTAATCTTTAGACAAACCACATCACCACATGAATCATGATATCTGAACAACACTATTGAACCATCTTTCATCTTTTCTTCTTGAAGACCAATTCCATCAAGACCTCCAAATACAACCCCTTCACTTTTCTGCCTCTCAACTTGTTTGAGCAGTTCCAGAGGATCGCTAATGCCTACTTCCTCTTCTTGCTCATCCTACAGGTGTGTAATATCCAAGTTTACTGAGTGAAGCACTGGCAACAGTTTGCAAGACTGATATGTTCATAATATGTTTCCATTAGTACCTATAAAATAAATAAATGGATGAATAGGGATTTGAATACAAATTCTGTCCAATTCAAAGGAAGTGAAATTCTTTCAGGATGTTTCCTCAGTTTGACATATTTAGTTTAGTCATGCATATTGTGAAGAATGGGTTTGTGACCCTGACTTCCCGTATCAAGCCTACACCCCACACATTCTAAATGACTGGATTCTTGCACAATAATGACCGTCTCATGACCCTGTAACTTCATTTACTCGCTCTTTACTAGCCTTGACTTTGAGGCAAGTCAGTTGACATCAGCCATTTTTGTTACTCATCATGGGCAGCTCTTTCCATTCATGCAAGTACAGCGACCATAGACACTAGTAAATGAATGGAGAGACTGTAACAATTAAAAATTACATGATCAACAACTGACAATAATCATATCATAAATATATTTTTCTTAAGCTCACGCAGTCATATACGACTTCTCACATTCATATATGTGCAACGTCTCTGGCTCACAATACAGTAACTACGTGTATGTTGTTGCCATTACTTTAATATCATGTTCCCACATTCAAAGCACATTAACATTTTCTGTTTCGTAGGTTATTCCTGCTATTTCTTCTCTGTCCTGGTTCACCACTGTCGTCCCTCTAGTCTTAGTATTAACAGTGACTGCAGCCAAAGATGCCATTGATGATATTGTAAGTACACACATCACATGTGACTATATACAACAAACTGAAGATCTATTCATTCTTTGTTCGTATTTCTTTCTTTTTCCCCTCCTGAGAGAAAACGGCAAGATCTGACTGCGATTAGACTGTTTTTGCCAAATTATTCCTTTAAAGGGATAGTCCACCCAAAAAAGACAATTCTGTCAACATTTCCTCGCCCTCATGTTGTTGAGTTTCTTTCCTCTGCTAAACACAAAAGAAGACATATTGAATGTTGATCGTTCATAACAAAGCAGTTTTGATCCCACTGACTTCCATTGTATTGTTTGTCCAAGCTATAGAAGTCAATGGGAACAAAAACTGTTTAGCTACCAACATTAGAAAACAGTATTTCGCAGTAGAAAGAAAGTCACGCAGGTTTGCAACATTTTGTTGATTATTTTATACCACGTAGTACTGGATAGCGTTGCCCCACCAGTCATTTCTTTTGTCCCAATGTGATCCAGAGGACCTCCAGACTTTCTGCCAGATCCCAAACAGAGCTGACTCTGGGTTTCCCATGCTCATGGAAATAAACTGACATTTAGTTAAAGGCAGAGTAAGTGATTTCTGGTAGCCAATGTTTATA